AAACGTACCCTGATCTCCAGTGCGATGTCCAGATAGGGATCGAAGGTGTCAGACACACTCTTACAGACGGAGCATTTCACTAGAAGACAGCAGGTAAAATGTCATAATGTTGATACCACAGTCCAGTGGAAACCTCAGTACTGTCTTATAGAAAAAGCAAATACTATACCATTGTGACAGTTTTTTCCACATGGTACAAGTGAGTGCCTATCCAAAATACAAGAGGATATGACTCCCATTGGTACCAGGTCACAGCTGGCCTGGTGTCACACATCCGCAGCAGATGTATACCTAGGGCCAGTCACGATAACGTATTAATGCTGAAGTAGAGGGGAAGGAAAACCCCTGTAAAGGTAGAACATCACTGCAGCAGGAGTTCACAGAGCCAATCCAGTGGTGCCACTAAAGGCGAATTTAGCCAGCTGGACCACATTGTCTCAAATTGTTGGGACAGCCCCGTTTTTTATGTGAGCTTCTCTAACCTACGCCAAGTATTAACTTCTCAAAGTTCAGCTTTGAAGTCTTCCTGTGTCCCTCAATGCACCCCAATAAAAGGATTATATAGATACACTCAGCCTGCAAAGTATAACCTGGCGACAATGTACCTTTAAGGGTGATTGGGAACAATCACAAATATAAAGTAGCTGTTGTCCCAATTTGGCTGCAAAAGTGGAAATACTTTAAAATGTCCTTTGTTAGCACCACACTATGGGACATCTTTCTTAACGTCTTACCTCGAGAGCGCAAGTATCCCCCAAATATCTGGTGCACTAAAGTCGTAGCTTGGCTTTGCCGATCCAACCTAAGGAGAGGAAATAAGTATTTGATAGCATCCCCGGTTTAGGAATATAACAAACTTAAGGCCCCCACTCAGTGCTAAAAATGTTTTTAATGTCTCAGTGTAGCTACACTCTCAATCTGCATTCTCACATTACTGATCTTCAGCTTACCTCTTCCCGCAATCCTTACAGAAAGTCAGCCTTCAGAGGCTGTCAGTCCCTCATCTCCTGTCCAGGAGTCCAGACTCTGCCTGCTCTATGTGCAGCATGGTGACTGTTTCCCCCCACCCACTCCACCAACGCCCTACTGTAGTTTTATCTGTTGTCCTTGACATTGTCACTTCAGTGGGCAGGATTATTAAAATGAACTGGTCTTCAGCTCTGCAGATGGTTACTCAACCCAGAGCAAGGAGCATGCATGCATAAAAGAAGGCTGGGGATGCCTTTTTGTCATGTAAGACAAGCACCTGGAAGTACACGAACAGCAGGAGACATCCTGGTGGTACCCACAAAGGGAATGTCACAATCAGTGACCATTGCACTTCCTGTAAGCATTACATTCTAAAGTTGTGCTACTTTTAATTCATTTTTAGAATTAAAAAAAAAAACAGACAGTGCTTTACCAGCTATGAGAGAGCAGTGCAAAGGGCATACACACTCCCCCGTTACCACCTACTGCTCCAAAGAGATTGCACTTAGCCCACCCATACAAGCCATGTGCAAGCTGAAGGTCCATGGGGAAATGTAGCTCTGCAGCACACCCTATATACACACAAGGATGTAATGTAGGAAGTATTGGAGAACCGCAAGCAGCATAAACATGGAGCATTTTCAGCCAGACTGATGAGATCAATAGACATAAAAACGAATTACTCATTGAAGGTAGGGAAGAACTGTATTGAATGAGTATTTGGAATATTGTACACAGACAGAGGCAGGCTGGGAAGGAAGACGGTATAGAGCCTGGAGAGGAGCTTCAAGCTACGTACAATGCCGTCAGACTAACACAAGGAACATGCTTACAAAACGAGTGCTGGTCTCTTACTTGGCGTATGCGTTCAGACAGGCCTTCTGCATGGCATCAATAGTATAACGCAGGAATTCATGAGCGTCTTCTTGGCTCCCAAATCGAAAGTGACGAGCAATTTCTAGAGAAAAAAAAGAACGTATAACATTTTAATCTACATTTAATCCCTATTTTGATGCATATATCCGGGAAAAATATAAAAAAACACAGACTAGGCCATAGAACTCTGCCTATCCGTGCCCCTCACCACATACATACATTTCTTTCTTTACCAGCAAATGCAATGCTGCTGTCTTGACTCGGAAGAACCTGCCAACACACCGTGTAAGATAAATGGACTCTGGGGAGATGTAGTTCTGGGGTCGTGTCTATGGTAATAGCGACAGACCTCCCAGAAGGTATCACTGCAAGAATTTTACATGTCTGGTGATGGTGTCACAGGGAGTATATAAAAGCTGCTCCTCGGTACAGGAACAAGGTAAAAGAAAAAGTGAATGCTGGGACATACTGTAGAGCAGGGGTAGCCAAACTCCGGCCCTCCAGCTGTGGTGAAACTACAAATCCCATGAGACATTGCAAGATTCTCACAGCCACAGACATGACTCTCGGAGAGAGATGCATCATAGGCTTTGTAGTTTCACCACAGCTGGAAGGTCCAAGTTTGGCTACCCCTCATGTAGAGGGAGGTTTGGGGGAAAATTTAAGTCATACCTGTGCAAAGCCACTAAGTTACCACCCAAGTAAATAATGAGAGTTTGTGTAATGCCTTCAATAGAAAATAGTACAGACATTGTAGGTTTTGGGAACTGATATGCACTCCACACTGATAGAGGGGTTAGACCTGATGATGCTGGAACTTCTACGCCAGGAGTAGGCAAACTCCTGGCGTAGAAGTTGGGGGAGGAATGGTTTACAGCTAAGCAGAGCAGCACAGCCCAAGCTTAGAAAGGGACTCCTCATCTTTACAGCAACTTCTCCTAGCAATTCAAACACCAACACCATCCTGTAGCTGACGTTGGCAGCCTTGGAGACAAGGAATCATGGGAGGAGCCTGCAATTTTTTTTCGATTAACCAGCCCCCATGTAGAGCACCATGAAAGGCCTTTCTAAATAAACCATAATTGTCCAAGTCAGCTGCGATCCCTATAAATGATGAGAACCTCTCTACATACGAGTCATCTTTGTCTGAGGTGGAAATTACAAAGAAGAATTCAATTGAATTCTTTGGTTGGGTGCCATGGGCTCAATCCCATGCTGGATTTGTGGTTCCCAATGAGAAACCTCTGTGCGCACACCGCCTCCTGAGGTCACCAGCTCCCACCTTGGCTTTCTTCAGACAAGCAATGTGATCACAAACGCCATGAGGGATTTTCCGAAAGAATAAAAGGTCCAGCCTGCAAGTCTATACTGGGAATCAAATGAATAGAGATAGACGTCACCTGTCCTTTATGCTACAACCAATTCTTGCAATAGCGCCCTTACTCTTTAGTTCTCGGATGAAGGCGACGGGCTTGATGGCGTTTCCGCTATTGGCGAAGGCTTGGATGAGATGGTTCTGCATTATGCACAGCATACAGAATCCGCCCTGCTGACCTGTACAAGACAAAAAAGGAGGTTGAGAAGACTTCCTGCTGCCTGCAGGGACTGATGACATCATCTACTACGGACATCGCTACTCCATGCCTATGCACAGTCACTGCTTCAGTTTTACTTTAAAGGAGAAACTTGCGTCCTCCCGTCACCCTAAGCTCAGTATACCCCGAGCTATACTGAGATGCCGCAGCTGAAGCGGATCCCGACAATTGTGTCTGGATCCGCCCAGCTGCGTGAGTGACAGCTGGCTCTGCCTATCCAGAGGCAGAGCCAGCTGTACCTGCCCCGTCTGTTCTGCCAGTAAGCGCTGGAGGATAGGAGCGGGGAATCCAGCCCCTCCTGTCATTGCTCTCTGCCGTGACAGGATCGAGAGGTGAGCGAATGCCGGTATGTGTTTGCTCACCTCCCGATCTACTGAGCCGACCTGTGACAGTCTCATTGTCACAGGTCGGCTAGAACTATGAGGTGAGTGAAAAGCACTCACCTCATAGTTCTCCTTTAAAAGAAAGCTGTCACGTTGCCCATGCAGGACACATTGAACGCTTCTCTTAAAAGACCTCCCTTGTCACTCAATCATTTGTTGGATCGCCGATTGCTTTTGGGTATGGAGGAGCATGTGATCTTCTCCACTTCCTCACAGGATGCTGCGCACGGGCCTAAGCAGCCAGTCGCCAGGTCTAAATCAGGTTCGGGTGAGTCAATGCTTTTACAGATGTACAAAGTAGTAGGTGAGCACAACAAAGGAAAGCATCAGGAGATAGAGGGTTGTTCTTTCAAGAGAACCCGTCATTTTGTCCTGGATGGCCAAAGTGACAGATTCCCTTTACGACTTCTTTTACACAAATCGACATCTGATTTATATGTACTGCCCCTTACAATATGGCGCCTGTGGCGTGGTACTCACAATTGCGGCTGTGCTCCTTAGACAGCAAGTAGTTGGCGAGAGGAGGGGTGTAGGTCAGACACTGCACTGTGGAGTTGAGAAAGCAAGTGTTCCCCAGATTCTGCAGGCCCGCCCCCACTCTGGACACTCGCTCCCACTTCATAGACAGTTTCTCCATTGGGAAAAGCATCTTCTGAGGAAGAGGGATGCCGTCTGAGCTCCCGGACGCAAGGCCATTGCCTGCTGAGAGAAGAAAATAAAGCCTCATTATACTTTGGAGGAAGCAACATCCACTGCAAGGCTGGAGACCAAAGATCATCCTCCATCCATCCATCCATCATCCATTCAATCCTCCTCCATCCATCAATCATCCTCCATCCATCCATCCCCATCCATCCTTCCCCATCCATCCTTCCCCATCCATCCTTCCCCATCCATCCTTCCCCATCCATCCATCCCCATCCATCCTTCCCCATCCCTCCATCATCCATCCAATCCTCCTCCCTCCATCCATCAATCATCATCCTCCTCCTCCATCCATCCATAAATCATCCTCCTCCTCCATCCATCCATCCATAAATCATCCTCCTCCTCCATCCATCCATAAATCATCCTCCTCCTCCATCCATCCATAAATCATCCTCCTCCTCCATCCATCCATAAATCATCCTCCTCCTCCATCCATCCAT